TGGCAATAACTCTAAATTAAATGCCATTCTAGGAAAAAAGATTTAAGAAATGCTACCAACGTTCGATGTAATTCACACCCCGCCCTAGGAGGAGTCATTGGAAAGAGTCTCACAGTTGAGTTGGAGTGCATCACAGAGCCCACATTCCAATTTGGAATTAGGAGACTGGCATGTTCTGCCTCCAGTTCACACTACTATTCCATTGCACGTCCTTCTTCCAAATAAACACCTGTTTTTTATGAGCTTCGTAAATAATACCTGTGCCAGACAAGATCTCCTGAGTAAACTGGGGGCATGGGGACCTTGGGGGAGGATTGAAGGGGAGAGGGGAGAGGCAGGAATGGGATCAGAGAAAAATGTAGAGCTTAATAAATATCAATTAAAAAAAGATAATACCTGTGCCTTCTTCATTTATGACCAGGAGAATTTTTTCCCATATGTTCAGAAATCAACATAAGGAAGTTTTTCAATGAAGAATGATGAACCATGCCTACAATTCTAGCACTCAGGGGGGCTGAACCATGATGATTGCTGATTATAGGCCAGCCTGGACTACATGGCAAGGTCCAAGCCAGACCAGCCTGCAGCACAGTGAGACTCTCTCTCTGAAAACATTAAAAGAATGTTTGAAATGGATGTCTAGGAGGAATCACATCACTACACAGTTGCAGCTTCTACTCTGCTGAAAGTAGAACAATCTTACATCTAATAACCTTCCACAGGTGAAGATGCAAACCTAACCTTTATGCTTACTTAGGTTAGATCAAAATAAGAAACGTGAACCTACTCCTCCTACCAAAGAGGTCATTCTCTTTAGTCAGCACACTATACTACGTCTTGCTGTTGACTTTAACATAAAAAAAAAAATTCCAGCTGGGCGATGGTGGCGCACGCCTTTAATCCCAGCATTCGGGATGCAGAGGCAGGCGGATCTCTGTGAGTTCAACCTGGTCTACAAGAGTTAGTTCCAGGACAGGCTCCAAAGCCACAGAGAAACCCTGTCTCAAAAAAACAAAAAAAAAAAATTCCAATAATCTCAAATAAATGAATTATCTCTGATGGAATCAGAAGTGGACAACTGTCATTGAGGTATGAGGGTTACACCCACTGGTGATGTGGGATTTCCCCTCTGTATGCTGTGAATATTATTGGTTAATAAAGGAACTGCTTTTGGCCTATACAAGAGCTATAGGGGAACGGAGCTAGGTGGGGAAAACTAAACTGAATGCTGGGAGAAAGGAGGTGGAGTTGGAGAGAAGCCATGGAGCCACTGCCGGAGATAGGCATGCTGAAACTTTGCTGGTAGGCCACAACCTTGTGGTGATGCACAGATTAATGGAGATGGCTTAAATTAAGATGTAAGAGTTAGCCAATAAAAAGCTAAAGCTAATGGGCCAAGCAGTGATTTAAATAATACAGTTTCTGTGTGATTATTTCAGGGCTAAGTAGCCGGGAAGTAACTAGTGGCCTCCTCCAACACACTGGCACAACTCTTCCTTGGAAATTGCAGACTTTATTATTTCTCTAAACACACTGGGTAGGTAGGCTCTGTTCAGAGATGTGCCAAATTCAGAGTGGTCCAGCTCTCTTAAAGTGTCCTCCACAAACCTTCAAGGCACTGTGTCACGACTCCTGCCACCAGCACCTCAAGTATCATCCTTTGCAGTCTCATGTCTGTGATGAGGTAATGCTAGAGATATCCCATGGTGACAACTGCCACTCAGATTTGGCTAAGGTTGGAAGTGTAGGGGAAAATAAATAGAACTTCAAAAATACAATAAGTCCTTGCATATTGGGGGGATAGTGGGTTAGATTGAGCTTATTTGGAAAATACCTTGTATGAAAGCCTAGTTTTAAAAATATGACTGTCATTTCACATCAGTGTGGAAAAGATAGATTATTCAGCAGATGATTTAGGACAAGTGAGTATAGCCATCTGGAAAATTAAATAAAGTTGAATCTCTATAAACAACTTGCCCAATATATATTCCACATGAAACCCTGTGTGTGTGTGTGTGTGTGTGTGTGTGTGTGTGTGTGCGCGCGCGCGCATGTGTGGGCACATGCACGCACACTCCTCCAAATTATGAATTTCAGCTTACTTTGCTTTGCATTGCTTTGTCACTGTGTTGACTTACGATTCTATTTTATATGTGTTTGTATTTTATACCAGGGCTGCTTTTTTCTACTTTGCCACACTGCTTCACCCTAAAAATTTGTAGGGCCCTGGGAAAATAGATTTATAAAATGAGTATGCAAATTCAAACATTTAGTGATGATAAATCATAGCAAAAAGTGTTTAAGCAACTCTTTACCATACATACCATTTTTGCCATTATAAAAGATGAAAATAAACTTTCATATTAATTAAATGGATGTGCTTGTTTATTTTTACATAAGGAATAAATCTTAAGTAGATAATTGGTAAGGCAGGGCTAGAGTATGTTTGATGTTTTTAACCATTTATGCATTTATTTATTCTGTTTTTTGCTTTGTTTCTGTCTTATTTTGTTTTGTTTTTTAGAAGCTCATATGGTCCAAGCTGTCTTCAAACTTGTTATGTAGCTTAGGCTGGCCTTGAACTCCTGATCCTCCTGCCTCACCACTCAAGTTCTAAGATCATAAATGTGCAGATACATTCCAAGTCTGATCAATATTTTGATTTTACAATCATCAATTTTGATAATGGCACTTTGCACAAATAATACAAAATGGGAGAGATGTGCTTAGGGACATTTCGGAAACTGTTGATAATCCTGCCCTAATCCCACTTAACCACTAAGAAATGGATGCCCCTGAGGAGCTGTGACACAAGGACCATAAGCCACATTACTGTGACTTGGAACCTCAAAGAAGTTAAAGGAATGATGCAACATGTTTGTGGAAGTGCAACCAGAAGACTGAAATCCTTATCCAGGAACTGTGGCACACTCACGTAACCCCAAGATCAGAAGGCAGAGGCAGGGTGATCACTCCAAGTTACAGTCTAACCTGGGCTATATAATGAGTTCCAAGACAACCAAAGAACCTTGTCAAGAAAAAAAAAAAAAAAACTTATTGAGATTTTGTGTTCACAGTCTGGATGTCAAGTCCATGTGAACTACAGCTTCCCACTGTAAACTACATGCCTGCATGCTACATCTGGACACACCATCATTCTCCCTTCAGAGTTGACTCTCACAGTGCAGTAACTCCCCATCTTAACTCCAAGTATGAGTCCCATTGGAAGGGAAAGGAGCAGAAAGAGAGAGAGAGAGAGAGAGAGAGAGAGAGAGAGAGAGAGAGAGAGAGAGAGAGAGAGAGAGAACTCCTATAGCTTGTTTTTCACTCTTTATTCTTTTGTCTTTGGGAGCTGAGATGAGGGCGCCACTACCAAGCTCCCAAATAAATTAGATATGGAATCTTATTTCTTATAAATACCCAGCCTTAGCTTGGCTTTTTGTTTTTTAAGCCTGCTTTTGTTAAATTATCCCACTACCTTTTGCCTCTGGGCTTTTTCCTTTTCTTGCTTCTGTACATCTTCCTTTCACTCTTACTCTGGGACTGGCCTCTTTTTTTCTCCCTTCTTGATCTCTCTCCTCCCCGATTTTTTCTCATTCTTTTTCTCTCTGCCTAACAGCCCCACCTATCCTTTCTCCTGCCTTGCTATTGGCTCAGGTGTCTTAGACAGGCAAAATATCAGGCTTTGGATGGGAAGCTAATTGATGTCTGCTGTGTGTATGGTGGCAAAACATGGTATGATCAGCCAGAAATGCAGACAGTGGTATGGTGTCAGACTCCAGTTAGACAGCCCTCCTTGTGAGAAGTGGACAAGACATCTCTGGAGAATGGCTTGATTTCCCCTTGAGGACAGCATGCATAGACAGAAGGACGTCCCACAGGGCCCAACTTCCTAAAGGTCCAACCACCTTTCATACTAAGAACAAACATTCAACACATGAGCTTTTGGGGAGCAAACCGCATCCAAACCATCACATTCTATTAAAACAGCTTCTGTGGTCTGGGTGGAAAAATAGGCATGGCTTTGCAAATATGACAGAATTTTATTTCATTCTCGAGTAAGTTCACATTCGCAGACTGGTATGATCAGAGGTTAATGACTGTGACGATTGGGTTCAAAATAATTAAAACTGTCACACAGCTTGACAGTTGGTTGCAGTTCTCAGCTAAAAGCTAAAGTGGGGAGATAGGAGTGGAAACAGAAAGAAATGAACTTCCCTAATGAAATTTAAAGTAGACTAGAAGTGCTAGCCCTTGGTTACCTAGAGAATTGTGAAGGGGAGAGTCACTTATGGTCAACAGCAAGATTCTTGCTTAACTGCAAGGATGTATTTGGTTGGCATAGAGAGAGGATAGCATATTTTTATATTCATAGATATAAAGTATGGGCACGGTGTCTTTGAGATACATGCATATATCCAAATAGAGATTTCTACTCAGTACATATACATATGAGTTTAATGATCAGCGGGAATATCTAATTTTTTAAAAAAAGATTTATTTATTTATTATGTATATAGTATTCTGCATGCATGTATGCCTGCAGGCCAGAAGAGGACACCAGATCTCATTACAGATGGTTGTCAGTCACTATTTGGTTGCTAGGAATTGAACACAGGACTTTTTGGAAGAGCAGCCAGTGCTCTTAATTGCTGAGCCATCTTTCCAGTCCCAAAATATCTATTTTTTTTTACTAGGCAAAGAATTTTATTAACCCTTTTCCAAACTTTATTCCCAGGCTTCTTCAGCTTAATTTGCTGCAAAGAATGAATTGTGTTTAAGCAAAAACTGAAAAGAGCTGCAGTGTCCAAGGGGCTTGGGCTTAAAAATATTAGCGATCTAGATTTGATCAGATCCATAAACAAAAGACCTTTAAAAAGCAGCCATGATATAAAATAGCAGCTCCTGTGTTCACAAGGTGCCTCCACTCAGTTTCCCCCATTCCTAGAATCAGATCTGGGACTTCATCATCATCCTCTCCAGTAGCAAGTGGTGTTCTTCTACCATTGTTTGGGCAGAGCTTCAGCCAGTCTCCTTAAACTAGTCAGACTGTCTGCCCCAAGCTGGTTTAGAATGCTGGGAAGCATTTCTGTCAGTTGCTTTGTCTCGGCGTGGCCTGTAATGGTGAAGGTGTTTGCTGCCAGAGACGCCTGAACTTTAGGGTTGTTAAAATGGATCACTGTTCCTTGGTTTGTAAACATGTTCACCTCTTCAATATCAGAGATATTGTTCACCCCTAACTTCTTTAAGGAGAACTGCAGTTTTTTATCATCTGCCGTGGCTGTTCTGTGAACCACCTTCTTCTTTCTGCGAGCAGTTCCTTTCCCACCAATGCGCACTTGTGCCTGCAGCTTGGCCAGTTTTTCCTGGTTCATGATCATTTCTTTCATCTTGTCGGAGTGGAAATGGGGCCGCACGGGGGACTAGGGTTCGCGCTCAGGAGGTCTCGGGCGGACCAGCTGAGATAAGGCACACACACAAGGGGACGCAAGATGGCAGCTAGAGGGGGGCTGGAAGTGATGCGTAGCCACTTCCTCAATATCTAAAATTTATATAAAGGCTTTGTATCAAGAAGGCAACTGAGGAGCCAGAAAGATGGCTCAGCAGGTGAGAGCACTTGCCACCAAGTCTGGACAACCTGAGTTTAATCCCCAAGTTCACAAAGTAAATGAAAGAACCCAGTTTCCACAGTTGTCCTTTTATCTAAACAAGTACAATATGGCAAGGCAAGCACGCAGAGTGCAGGCACACACACACACACATACATATACATACATACATACATATGTACATACATACATAAATGTTCAAAAAGAAGGCCATTGAGACCCTTTTCCTCTTGATATGAGGGTTTATACCTAGTCTTATTGCATCTTTTTATGTCATGCTTGATTGATAACCCTGGTAGGTCCTCTCTTTTTCAAAAGAAAACAGAGGAAGGAGTTGAGGCTGTTGTCAGGACGTATTGAATGAGAGAAAAATTTTCTTAAAAAAGAAAGAAAGAAAAGAAGGCAATTGAAAACCACAGACTAGATAACTATCCCTAAAAATCATGTAGAATGGAAAATCCAGGTTATAATTCGTTGTTGTTGTTGGTTTTTTCTTTTGTTTTTGTTTTTCGGGTTTGTACAGCTTTGGAACCTGTCCTGGAACTCGCGCTGAAGACCAGTCTGGCCTCGAACTCATGGAGATCCACCTGCTACTGCCTGCTGGGATTAAACGCAAGTGTCACTACCACCTGGGAGCTATTGTTGTTTGAAATAGAGCCTTAGGTAGAGCTTGAAGCTATTAAATAATCAAACTGACCTTGACTCCTTATGTTCCTATATCTACTGGAGAGGTGGAATTATAGATATATGACATCAGGCATAGCTTTAAATTTGTACTTATTTTTGCAGTGCTAGGGATCAAACCCAAGACCTACTGCATGGAAAGCAAACACCCCACCAACTGAGCTAAGCACTCTGCCAACTGAGGTACAGGCCCAGTCTGAAGAGTCCATCAAAGAAGGCAGGTGAAATTCAAAGTTCAGTGACCTAGAGAGCACACTTGAGGGAACAGCCCCCCTGGAATGACAGGCTGGAAACAGCACACAAAATACAGGGTGTTTCACTGGAAAATCCTCTTGGTTTAAACCGGATTTCCCCCCAGCACACTGGAATTTGTTTCCAAGCAAAGTCAGATAAGCAATACACCTGCATCAGCCAAACACACAATGCACTGATGAGGGGATCTGTTTCCACACTGACCAGCAGTCCCCAAACATTCTGTTTAAGAAAGGATTCAGGGTGATGGGTATAGCAGAATGCCTCACTATGTAACCCACATTGGCTTTGAACTCACTATGCAGTCCAGGCTGCCTTGAATTCGCTTTGTAGCCCAAACAAGCTTCAAATTTACAATGACCCTCCCACCTCAGCCTCCCCAATGTTAGAATAAGAGGTATGTATGTACAAGAGGTTTATTTTGCTGTTCCCAAAGTACATTTCTGCCCTTGCCACATGACCCCAGCATCTCCTCATTTTCCCAAACTGCCTGTCAAGTAAAGGTCACTTCTTGAAAGCATTTCCTCAGTACTTACTGCGTATCTGATTGTTGCTAGAAACTTCTGTCTTTGGCTCTGGGCTCTGGGCTGTGGCGGGGGTGGGGGGAGATATTAACAATTTTTAAGCATCTGGATTGAGTTGACTAGTGACTGAATTTTCTGCTCTAACACATCGAAACACTTATTTTTAGCACATGATTTGACAGAGTGTGAGGAGTCTTGTTTGTTTTCAGGAAAACACAGTGCACAGTGCAGAGATGCCTATGTGGTGGGGAAAATATCATTTTATCAGGATCAAACGCTAGGTCCAAATGAGAAAAACTACTCAAGTGTATTAACAGCCCAAAAAATGCAAAAGCCTACCTAATGGCATGGGAATGCACTCCCGTTCTTGTGTGCCCTGTGTTGTTGGGAGGGAGGGGCGTTCCTCTATTAATAGAAGCTACAAAGGTCATGGAGTCATTAATATACAGTTAAAAACTCCTAGTGATTTGCAGGAGCTAAGGAAGATGGCTCAGCAGTTAAGAGCATGCGCAACTCTGCAGGTGACACAGTTCATTTCCTAACACCAAGGCCAAGTGGTTTCTGACCACATGAACTGCAGCCCCAGGGAGCTCTTGACCTGTCTGGCCTGCTTAGGCACCTGGTCAGACCTGCACAGACCCATAACAGACATACATATCCTGACAGTTAAAAATAATTAAAATAAACCTTAAAAAGAAAATAAAGAGGGTTGAAGAGATGGCTTGGTAATTAAGAACACTTACTGCTCTTTGAGAAGACCAAAATTAGTATCCTAGCCCCCAAGAGGTGGTTACCAACCCTCGGAGATGGCAGATCCAAGGGATTAGGCACCCAAGCACATGTGACATCAAACATGCAAATATCCATGGAAATTAATATAGATCTTTAACAAGAGAAGAAGAATCCAGTGTGTCATACTTGGAGTCTCTGACAAAGGTCCAATCAGTGATCTGGCAGATAACTGCTCATTATGGAACTGTAAGCAGGCTGCAGAAAAACTGAGCTACAAGAGATGCTGTCTCAAGGAAAAAAAAACTAAACTAATAACACATACACAGGCAGACAGACAGACACACTCATGTACACACACACATATTAGATTTTAAAGGTGGATTTCCTATGTGTGACAATCCTGGTTGTTCTGGAACTCTCTTTGTAGATGAGACTGGCCCCAACTTATAGAGGTCCACCCTACCTCTGCATCCTGAGTGCTGGGATTATAGGTGTTCACCACCACTGCCCACTAACAGTACTAACAGTAGGAATTTTACGATGGCAGCTGGGTAGGGTGGTATATGCCTACGATCCTAGCACACAAGAGGCAGAAGCAGAAAGACTGTCACAAGTCATTGGCTAGCTTTTATAACCAGTCAAGTAAGAACTACTATATTTAAGACCATGTATTTAAAAAACTAAAAAAAAAAAAAGAAAACAAAAGTCATGATAATAAACACATTTAGTCCCAAAGATAATCAAGAGACCCAGGCTGGAGGACTACTCTTGTGTAGGAGAAGAGTTTGGCTCCCAGTGGTAAACTTTATCTCAAAAATGTAATGAAAAACATTCCTGTTTAGGGAGATTTAAATCAATAAATTTAAATATTAAATACTCAAATATATTGACTATAAGGCTGGAAAAAATTTAGTATATATAAGTATGTATGTATTTTAAAATTGATGAGTACAGCCTTATAAATGCCCTGGGATATAGCATAACCTCACTTCTTATATGTCTGTGTGACTTTTATACTGAGAGATTGCCATGTGAGTCTCAGAAGTTATAGAAGACCCATCATCAGTGTTGGAAGGCACGTGACAGAGGGTGGGGACAGAGAACAGGGACAGAAGGAAAACTGCTGTCTCTCTGAGAATCAAGATGGTTTAGATGCCAGAACCACAGATTCATTGGCCTGGTACCCAAGGACACCTTATAGCAGTGGTACCACTGAGTTCTCAGAAATTTGGCCTAGTCAAGTGTAATGGTGCATGCCTTTAATCCCAGCACTTGGAAGTCAGAGGCAAGTAGATCTCCGGTCTATAAAATGAGTTCCAGGTTAGTCAGGGCTGTTACACAGAGAAACCTTACCTTGAAAGAAGGAGGAGGAAGAGGAAAAGAAGAAATGTGACCTTTAGTGGAGAATTATATCATTGCTTTTCCTCATTGAGTGGTCTTCCCATTTAAAGAGGTGATGTGGAAGGTGATGTATGCTGTGAATATGTTTTATTGCCATTGTTTTAAAAAGAAGCAGCTTTTGGCCAATGACTTAAGCATACAGAAATCTCCAGCCACTGGATGCTGGCACCCCCTGCCCGAGCCCACTGAAACTTTGCCGTAGGCCACGACCTCGTGGAAATGCAAGATTAATAGAAACGGGTTAATTTATGATATAAGAGTTAGCCAGAAATACAAATAATATTGCAATTGTTTAAGCTATTGGCCAAACAATATTGCAATTAATACAGATTTTTATGTGGTTATTTTGAGTCAGGGTGGTCGGGGAACGAACAAGCCGCCTCTGGCAATACAGAGGCGCACCACCACTATACTAGGATCTTCCATTTGTAGGTAGTCATTGTTGGGGTGTAGCACAATCACACGTGTCAATTCTCCAATAAATCCCCTCTCATCTAACCAACATACTACAGGTACATGATTCAGTCTCTCGAGGGAATCCTCTCTAATCCAATGAAATTATAGGTAGTCACTAGTCATCAAATGGGAATCCTTTCAGGAACAAATAAAAAGATTCCAAAATGCAGAGTCAGAATCCAGGTTCAGTCATACCACACAATAGAAGACTCTGTATAGTAAATCTATTCTAAGAGAGGAAATAAAAACTGATCCCATTAGGAATTTGTGCTCATTTAACTAAACATGTGAAGAGGTTCACATCACTGTCCATATGAACAGGTACAGTGGTAAACAGGATGGTTTGTTACAAAATAAATACCTCACATCTCTAACAAACTTTTGACTCAGGAAGGGGATCGGCCCCTTCAAGAAGAAAGATAGATTTTATTCTTGCATCATGAATAAAATCAAATACCACATTTTAGGTTGATTCTCATCCGTATCTATTTTAGGCTTCTTAGGAACTACCATTCTAGTCTAATAAAACAGTTTTGTGGCTGAGAAAAGAACTCTTGATCTGTTCTCCAGAACTGTTTTCTGTTTTACCCAACTTAAAATGCTAGTACTGCTTAAATAATCCATCTCTAACTCTATTCCTTTTTCCCCTCAGGCACCAAGAAGCACTTTGCTGAAGTAAGTGTCTGTATTCATTTTCTTTTGAATGACAACAGATTACTGGAAACTTAGCATTATAACCCAGCGTGCACTCACTCAGGAACTCACCGCACTATGGATCTGCTGTGCA